AGAGAGAGAGAGAAATGGTGTTATTGGTATCATTATAGTGGAAGAGAATAAAAAAGAAGAAGATAGGAGTGCAAAAAGAAGAAGATAAGAAGAGAGGGAAAATATGAGGATGAGAGAGAGAGGAGAAGTAGGCGGCTGAAAAAGGGAAGAAATAATGGAATTTTAGGGTTTTGTCTATAAGTTGATATATATTAAATTGCTAGTAAAGGCTAAAAAGAGTAACTTGGGTAAAGTAGGGCCATTATTTTGCCCGAGTGGCCATAGAGTGATGATTTCTGATCATTGGAAGGTAGAAATGACACAAGATAGTCATTCTAGAGGACTGATATTTAGGAATTAGCCAATGAGTCATGAATTTTAGTTTTTCAGGACACAAAGTCCAAAAATTAAAAAATTTAGAAAAAAATAAGTACTGACCGATCCTTAAAATAGCAGCTCTAAAAATGACTATTTGTGTAGTTTCCCCATCATTAAGGGCCTAATAGGCCAGGCAGATCATCTTAGTAATTCATAGCCGAAATGGAGGCAAAAGAGGTAGTAATGTTGTTGGCTAGCCACTTTTCAATCCTGTAATTAAGAAACTAACAATTGTTATGAAGTTCAAAATTTTACAGGTGAAACTCGAGAACAATATAATATCTATCCATGATATTGTCTATTTTTCAATTACAGAGGCTGAAACGTGAGTATTTGTGAATTTTGCCTGGCAAAAGGGCAACTATTAGCGACAAGACTTTTAGCGCAACCGCCAATCAAGTAACAAATCCATGGTAGATTTGGGAACAAATAAATGTCGCTTGTGCAATGGATCTAGCTAAATGTGCATCTCACGACTTAACTTTAATAAATCGTCTAATATACAAATTAAATATTTTTTGAAATTATTGAAAAATATATTATTGACATATGTTTTGTTTTGTTGGTTAAGGCTTATATAAGTTCAAATATGTGGTATAAAAGTTCTCGGATTTTGAAATATCCGATATTTTTTCACCCTGAAATCAATAATCAAATAAGAATTTTTTGAAAACTAAAACCAAACACATTATAAAAACCAAAAAATTCAGTTTTAGATTTTTTATTTTTTTTTTTAACTTACACATTTCTAATATTCATTGCATTAATCCTATCTGCATTTATTCCCTTGAAAGTTGGATCTCTCTTTATTTACCTAAAAACTAAAATCCACTTAATTAAAGCATACATTATCTTATGGTATTATTCTCAGTTTCCTTATGATAGTGTTTGATAGAATTTGCTTCTTGAAGAAGGCTCCAACTCCTGCCATTCATTACTACCATGAGACGGGCACGATGAATGAAATCCCTTTCACTTTTAATTATAGGTCTCGGATTTAAACTTTGAGAACAGAAAAATCCGTGAAAGTTAAGAAATAAGTTGAGTTAGTATGCTTAGAATATACTAAATGATTATGAAAGGAAAGAAAAGCTCTTGCCAATTCATTCATTAATATGATTCCATTTTTTCACCACCCCACAATAGTGAATCTTATCAAGATTTAGGTTCTTGTCACTTTATTCTCATGTCGTCATTTCAAACCTACAAAACTAGAGCGTGAGGGTCCATCTTTTTTCCATGCAACAAAAAACGTTGCCATTTGCCTAGGTATCTGATTCGAACTCCTCCTCCTCTTCTTTCTTCTTCTCCTACTTATTCTTTGTCTCAACTACAGTAATGGCAGGAAACGGCATTAAAAAACTTCGGAAACTGCCTCACGTGTTTGGCAAGGTTCTTGAATTGCCGTTTCGGTCCGATGCGGATGTGGAGGTGGAAGAAAACCCAGAATTCTTCCGTTTCGTGACCGAAATCGGCGTGCACGGTGATGTCAACAGCACCATTGACATTACTAACGTGAGAGCTGAGGCAGTGGAGATACATCCTGGAATGACGAAGATTGTGGTGAGAAATGGAGCCAAAGGTGGCAAAGCGGAGTTGTTGTTGGAACAACTGAAGGTGGACACGTGGAGGTATAGGTTGCCTGCGTCGGCGAAACCGGAGCTGGCTACGGCGGCGTTTGTGGACGGAGAGTTAATCGTGACGGTACCAAAGGGTGATAATGGTCGTAGAGGATTCGGCGGAAGGGACAACGTTTTGGTACGCAGGCTTCTTGTTGTGTAGCAGTGAGAGCAAAGTTCTGATCCGTCCGTTCCATTTTTGTATGCATTTTAATTTAACTATGCATGAAATTTAAGAAGAGGGCTCAGAAGTAACCGTAACATTATTTTCATATGATTTAGAGGTTACGAGCCCTATGAAATTAACCTATATGAATACAGAATAATTTATGTACCCATGTACGAAATTTAAGAATGCAAGAAAACTTTTCTTGATGTTGTGTGGTATATTGACTACATGATTGAAATTATGCAAGTCCCTCATGCAACAACATCATGAATTTTCTATCTGTTCCTTATTTGTTCGAATTTCGAGATCCGGTAAATGAGTTTTTTTTATCGTAATTTTTTTATATTTTTTAAAATATTTAAATTATTAATTATTGTGACTTATAATATTTTTATTTTCTAAATATATAAATTTTATTTCAAAAAACCTAAAGATTCTATATTCAATTTCACAATCAAAATTAAAATATTTAACTCTTGAAATTCGAATGGTTCCACAAAATTAATTGAGACAAAAAGGGACTGAAGGAGTAGTTATCTTGCGTTAAGAATAGTAGATGAGAAAAAGATACTTTAATTGAAATACAAAATTTTATTTCTTGGCCAAAGACTTGAAGAAAATGATGGAATGCTGTACCTATACAATTATTTCGTGCTTGTGTAAGATGATTTCCTGGAACTTATTCTTCACGAAGAGTCATTAACTGCTCAGCTACCTGATTGTATTTTTAGAAAATTGATCAGAATTGAAGGCATTTGGTATATGAATTAGATAATAATAATAATAATAATAATAATAATAATAATAATAATAATAATAATAATAATAATAATAATAATAATAATAATAATAATAATTATTATTATTATTATTATTATTATTATTATTATTATTATTATTATTATTATATATAAATTACCTCCTCAATGCTTCCATCATCGATGTCAGTATTGAAAGAAAGTAGCAATCTTTCGTAAAGCAGATTCTCTACGTCCTCTACACCAATAGCTGCTGCTACATCATAACATTAGCATTTATACAAGCATTTAAGTTATATAAACGCTAGCAGTATAAAAATATTTTATACCATCAGTTTAATTTAATCGGTTATGCTACACTTTCCACTATTTTCCTATGTGACATAATAATCAACACGTTTATTAGAAATGAAAGGAAGGGTCAAATGTAAAGTACGAGGGTTGTTCTTTAATGTCCATACATGCACGAATCTGAATTAGTCATCGTACCGGTCGGTACATAACATCATTGTGAAAAATTGTGTATATACGGGGAGTAGGGGTATACATGGGTCGGGTTGGTTCGGATTTTCTAATTACCAAACCAAACCAATTATATCGGGTTATTAAATCTAAATACTAAACCAAACCAATAAAAGTCGGATTTTTTAATCTCGGATTTTTCGTTTTTTTTCTTCATAAAGTCCTCGTAGCACAAAACGTAAAATTTGTGATCCAAATATTTCTTTAATCTTAGTAAGACAGAAATATATAATGTGTTTTTCAATAAAATAACATAAATATGAGATGAGTCATGGCATTGTACAGAAATATTCAACAATAAAGATAATAATATCGCATAAAATAAATATTATTAATAAGTCATAATAAAAATAAACATAATTTAAAATTATGACTAATAAGTACTATTATTTACATGACTAACCACTAAAAGAAAAATAAGTTATATATTTTATCTAAACCATGGAAAAACTAAAAAATAGATATCCAACACTATTTTCATAGTACAATTGAATTGAATGTCTTTTATTAGCATTAGTATTGATTTGATTTTGGTTTAGGATTTATTTGAGTTATAATATTTATGGACTATAAAACTTATTGGAGCATCCAAAAATTATAAGTCCAAGCTTGAAATAATACGTTAAAAGATAAAACTATGAAAAAACTTAAGAAATATTTATAAACTACACTACCATAAATATTTTTATGTATTAAATATATTTAAAACTTCTATACATATAATGTCGGATTGGTTTAGTTTTAGTTTGACTTTTTTTAGTGGGTTTGTTTTCAACACCAAATCATAGTCGGATTTTTTCCTCGATTTGACTCGAATTATCGAGTTGGTGCGGTTTGTACGTTTCATTTGTACACCCCTAAAGGGAGAAGGGACGTACCATTCGATTGAGAAAGACAAGAAAGAATATCAAAGGAAAGCTGCTTTGATTTTTGAGGAGAATCTTGGCCACCCCATTCATTTTGGATAGCCATTTGCAGGCCTGGCCATTGAGATAAGAGCTTTGAAATTCCTTCTTGAAGAGGAGACAAAGACGACTTGGCTTTCACATTTCTATTATTTGTAGCAAGACATGCTTCATCTTTATTAGCATTAAAAGCTTCCACATCATTCATATTATAATTGGTACTTCAAATGAAAGCTTTGTTAATGTGCCGGAGTGCGTTGGGATGTATGAGAACTCTTTTTTTAACCAGAGGTTTCGGGTTCGAGCCCTTAGAATAAAGAAACTGCTTCCCCTTTTAATGGGCTTTACACAATGCAAATATGAATTAGTCGAGCCGTGTTGAATATCAGATGGTTATACTCAGAAAAAAGCTTTGCGCTCTCTCCCTCCAAAGAAGAAAGAGGAAGACACCGCACGCGCACAATATATATATATATATATATATAGAAAAGAGCTGAAAGAAGCAAATATATACAAAGGGAATGAAATGGCGCGAGAAGTGGAGATCTGGAGAGAACTTAGGAGAAATTGAATGGTGCGCAAATATATAAGTTTATTTCCATATGATGTTATCATCAAATAGGATAACTAAAAAGACCTTAACCAATAATTATTTCTAAACAAAGATGAAAATAAAATAGGAAAAAAAGAACAAAGTAGAGGTAAATACTAAGCTTTTAGGAAAAATGTCTCGTATACCTGGTTTACTAGTAACTTTTAATATTTGTAGCATCATGGTATTTTTATTTTTTTTAAAAGAAACCCATATCTGGGTGCTAATATATAGCCAAGGCAAATAGAGTTTTACATCTTAGGCAATCTGCCTGCGAAAAATTGACTGAAGCACATATTCCTTCCAGTCAGAATATACAAAATTTTGTTAACTTACAAAGAAGTTCGCTTTATCATATTTAATTCTAACACTGGGCAGCTGCCACTTGTCTACCTTTGTAGCATCATGGTATTGGGGTCACCATTAGGGCTGCTTATCGGGCGGATTGGGCGGTTAATTACTCTTAACGATTTGGTTTAACGGTTATCGGCTTTTAAATCTATTAATCCACTAGCCACCCGATAAGATATCGGGCGGATTGGTATCGGTTTAGCTCTTATCGG